CGAACTCCGGGGTGCGAGCCGCCTTGGCCCCCGGGATGGAGCAGCCGTTGGCCTCTGTCGATTGCGGGCGGGGGGGTTTGGTGCTGCTGGCGACATGCCAAGTGAGGTGCGTGCGTGTGCGTGTGTGTGTCTGTGTGTGTGCGTGTGTGTGTCTGTGTGTGTGCGTGTGTGTGTGCGTGTGCGTGTGTGTGTCTGTGTGTGTGTGTGTGTGTGCGTGTGTGTGTGCGTGTGCGGCTTCTTACATGAATGGAGGACATACATCAATCCGAGAACCACAGTCAGGTCCAGTAACTACCAACCGTCCAACCCGCCGCAACCGCCCCAACCTCCAACTGCCATACATAAACTCACTCGCCGCCGCAGTCCAACTGGTGCCTCCGGCCTTGGAAATGTGGAAGTATTCCAGCGCTGCTCGATCCACAACAGAATCCACATGGATGTAGTACAACTGTGTACGGCAGACACGGCGGCGCGGGGTGCTAGCCCGCTCACTCACTGAAGCCCCGGAGGTCACGCGGGTAGCAACGTAACTTACGTTTGCTGGTAGGTGCGCTTTGGTGATGCTCGGGAAGGAAGGTGTGATGGCCAGGTGAAGAAGGACGGGACACGTTAAGAGAGAGTACGGCTTCGGTTGTACGGTTGTACACAATAGCTTTTTTGATAACCAACCAGCTTCCCTGGTTTGGTATCTAGGTAGCTCTGCGGCTGAGGAACCTAGCCAAAGCGTGTTCCCTGTCTAGACAATGCCCAGCCAGGTGGTCGCAAATTAAGGAAAAAAGGAACGCATATCAAGAATGGAGTAGCTGCCACACTGAGGGGTATTGGTATTTTTGGTTTCGGGGCCGTTGTTGGGGGGCTTCCTTGGGCTGGCGTTTTGGGCTGGCGATTCTGATCGCACAGACGCGACACATGAGCCTAGGGGGACGTGGCCACGTCGTGATTCTGTTTTATCGTTGCCGTACAAACACAAGCTCGTGCCTATGATCTTCACAAACCCTAGAGGACCACCCACCATCGTGAAGGCCTTCGCCAGGCCAGTTGCCACGTCATCCGAGACAGGCAGCTCCTTCTGCAGGCCGGTTGCCCAGCCCAGCAGCAGCTGCGCCAGCAGTACTCGCCGTACTAACGGCAAACCGCTGGCATAGGCACTGGACGAGTGAGATGAGGCAGTGTGGCGATGCACCACATGCAGACCGCTACTGCTTTCCCCAGGACTGCTACTGCTACTGTTATCATTGTTACTGCTACTGCTACTGCTACTGTTGCTGGTATTCGTACTAATGCCCCGTGTGTTATTGTTGTACGACGTGACTCGCCGCCGCCACCCGCCTGTCCCGGCGCCAAGGGAGGGTTTGCAGCGCCGTATTACAGCTTCCCCGCTCCGAAACCCGACGCACGGAAGGTGCTGCACCGAACCCTCTCCCGTCTCTGAGTCTCTAGTATAGTTACAGGCGCTGCGTCCAGGCGTAGTGATGATCGCGTTGCGGCCACTGTGATGTGCATCGCTCACCGCAGTACTGGCACTAGTCTGTGGTGCAACGAGCAGCTGCCGCCGGTGCTGACGCCTTCGATGTCGCCGCACTGCATGCAGCTTTTGCTGCTGCTGCTGCTGCTGTGGCTCCTCCTGCTGCTGCTGCTGGTAATGATGATGCTGATGGAGCGGCGGGAGCTGCTTTGACGGCGACTCCTCACCAAGGCCTCCTGAGGAGGCGCCCGGGGAGGAGTTGGATCTGCTTTTCCCACAGTCACCCATCGACGAGCCCTGTTGCCGTGCTGCCGTGCCCTGTCCCAGAACGGCTTCCGCCATCTCCATCTCCGTCGTCCTAGCCGATGTCCTCCTCCTTCCCCCATGCGTCCGAGATGCCGCCAGGTTCGCCGCCACCATCGCCGCATGGTGGTCCACCGCTCGTTGTGTGGCTAGTCTCTGCTGGCGCTGTCTTCGTTGGTGGTCCTGCAGGAAGGCGGTGGCGGCTGCGGTCCAGTTGACCAGGGCTTGCCGGCTGGTGGGGCCGCGGGGGTAGGTGCGCAGGACGGAGGACAGGAAGGACAGGGTGTTGCCCTGGAGCAGCTCGGGGGCGGGGGCGGGGCAGGAGGGCGATGTCGCGTCGCTGCTGCCGCCAGCGCTGCTCTTGCAGCTATCGGGTGCTTGAGACAGACTTTCGGCCACGTTGAGGATTTGAAGAAGGTGTAACAAGAGCTGCTGCTCATCATACGGCTCGTCATGGATGCCATCGGGCACGTCCTGATCAAGTGCAGAAATTGTGTCGTCGGTGCTGCTCCAGCTGACAAATATTTTGAGGAGGGCTGATTGTAGAGTAGACGCCAGTGCCTCCGTGTTATCTTGACCTTGGCCGGATGCTGAATCAATTTTATCGCCGTTAAGTGTGAGTAATCGCCGCCAGCTGATCGTGTCAGCATGATAGGCGTAGGATATGGATGTAAGCGCCAGCAGGGTTGCGAAGAGAGCCGCTGGGAAGGAGGTCTGCATGACGACTCGTCTACGCTATCTGCGTCTGTGAGTGCGCCAAACTAGAGTGCGTACTTGTGTTGCATAATAATAGATTAGTGACAATTCCCGGCACTGACATTCTAGTTAATCTCGGCGCCAAGGACAAAGAATGGCGAGCTGCAAGTGCGGGCGGTTGCGCACAAGAAGCCCAAAGACCTGTGTTGTTGCCATCTTTCTTATCCTGTACTTCATATGTGCGTCAGCAGGTGTGTAAATGGATCGGGAATACACCCCAATTCAAATCTTCGAGGAAAGCCGCAAGGCATTGTTGCCTTTGGATTGGTAATTTGCACTGATCTATCACACTGTATTTGATTATGGTGTCGCTTAGCAGCTCGCGAGGGTTCTGTATCGTTTCATATATGTTACATGTTGTACTGACCGTTGGCCAGCAACATATTATGGGTCCTGACAGTGATAATCCGTACCTTGATTAGCTATAGTTTTCCATAAACCTTTAAGGTAGCACATGTGGAACAAGTTGGCAATGCCAATACTGTCAAAAAATACACACATAACATGTGCGGCTGCGCAACTGCTGCCATCTGAGCAACTGCTGCCTGTCACCGGTATTGTGTGATACCGTGCAATGACCTGCATGCCTTGTGCTGTTTTCAGAGGAATTAATTTAAAGAGTTCTTCCTGCTACACGCATAACGCAGATAGGAATGTCAGTATTAAGCTTCGTATAAATGAACCGGAAAGCGCCGGCAGGGCGCGAAGCAGCAAGCACAACAACGATTGAATTGGATGAGTCCCAAATGAAATTCCCTGGCGCATCTTTATCACCAGAAGGGATTCCATCTGCCACAGTTGCAGAGCTCGTGTATCTCCTGCGGCCGCAATGCGCCACAACGCAGTCTCTTGACATTATCCTCAGATAGGCTACTAATCCAAATACATACTATATAATCTGGCGTATTTATTAAATGTGCCAGCACCCGGGCTTTTGAGGACCTTCGGCTGGATAGGCTAGGCTAAGAGCTGGATAGGCTAGGCTAGGCTATAGCCTCTTAGCTAAGAGCGTTAGGTGGCACCTCCGGGCCAACATGGTAAAAATTAAATGCAATAAAAAGCTTCGTAAAGCACTCTTATTTTCCTTTACTCATATGCCTCACCCTGCGGTTGTTTCCAGTAAAGCCTAGCGCCCGCCTAACTCGCCACCTGACGAGCTGATCTGTGTTCACGCAGTTCACAGGATAAATTGAAGAATCATACAGTGAGATCTGATTGAGCTAACATTAATAGGAGGCAAATTGAGCACGCGGCATTGTCACCTTGCCCATTGCGACATGTGCGAAAAAGTACACACGCTAGCCATGGAGCAACGAGCCGAATGTTTGAATGGTATCTTTGCAAGGTACTTCAAATCTATCTGTGGATGTCGCGCAAAGCGGTCAACCGATCAGCAGCTGCCGCCCGGGAATGTTGCTGCTCCGCCATGCTTGGCCTTGGAGCAAATGTCTCCAAGCACGACACAGGCACACGACGCAACGTAGTGACCTTTAGCATACATTCCAATGGCTGGTTGCAGAACACATTGCGGGTGCGAGGCGAAGTGCACTCTCTCGTACGGCTAACAACTTGCAAAGTTGCAAGTTGCAAATCGCAAGTCGCAAGTCGCAAGTCGCAACTCTCAATGAATTCATGAAATCTCGCCCATATTCAAACTTGGATACAGCGAAGCGAATACATACGTGAATCAGTTTTCCGTGCCTGTAGGGCGGATCTTACAATGAGAGAAGTATTGAGCCGATATTACTACATAAACTGACAGCCGTTCATGGAGATTTCATGGTTATCATGGCAATCTTGCTGAGCTCGGTGCCAACAACCTAAGTGCGCTCCAGCACACCAGGCACACTCTCCGCGGGGTATTCGGCAGCTGGTCCCTACGCCCACAAACTTGTACAAAAAATAAATAGCTACTTTGTTGGTTACACAGGTTATTGGGGAGCTTGGGCTGGACCACATGTTTCGCATGTTAAGGCCTTCGCCAATTGATGTGAAGGCTCCGTAGCGTGCTGACGCTGGTAATGCCGACTGTCGCCGCTGGCGGCTGGCGGCTGGCGGCTGGTGCGCGAGGCCCTTCTGTCCTCTCCTGATACTACGCCCCTATCTTACTGTATTACAACTCCGCCCGCGTTCCTAGCTTCCGTGTGCCCATCCACTGTTGGCGCCACCCACGACCGCACGCCGAGCAGCCCGCCTAACATGTCACTTTATTTGCCGCCAAACATTGTTCGTCGTCGTGTAATCCCTTTTTCTTCTGAACGTTTCATGAGGCTGTATAGGGTACATCAAGCTGTCTGCCGTAATATATCTTGCAGCACTTTGGTTGCTACCGGTACTGTTGCCTACATATTGTCGTATGTCGTGTGGGCACTTTTGTGAAACCCCGGGATGTCAAGTGCGCATCGTTCATCTTGGATTAGTTCCAAATATTGTGATGTAAAGCTTTCCATGTTAGGTTTTCTCGTTAGCTGTTAAGTCGTTAACTTGACTCGTGGACACGCGTTTGGATTAGAGATAATGAACGACATTTTCGGGAGCCAGCTAGGCTCTGGATAACTATTTAAGTTGTTGTTGTTGATGGGGTGTTACACTGTGGGCGGCTCGCCCCGATAAAGGACGAGCACCGGGGGCCCTGACCGGGCCGAAACACAGCGCAGGGATGGGCGCGCGGCTCTATGTCCGTCTGTTCCTCCGCGCGCGCCTCATTCCCTCACTCACGCCAACCGGGACACTCTCCCAGCCCCTGGCTAGGCAACACAGCGGCGCAGAAGACTGCGAACCGATCTATGCAAGAACCGCACGAAAGGCGCCACTTCGCCTGGCCTGCCTATTCACGCGCTCTCGTCCCTCTTGACCGCCAAAACCAGAACAAAAAGAAAACACCACCGGGGGCAGGGGCTCTACTCGGGGGCCTCCTCTACACACTCAAAAACCAGGGCCCCACGCAGCCAGCAAGGCAAGGGATACACGGAGGACCCCGGGCCTGAGACGACACACCACAAAAGCCAAGACGCGGATGCACAGAGAAGACCAACACAAAGCGAGTACTCGCACACTGGTCCTCGAAGGCCAGCTGTTCAACTACCACGAGCAACGAACAACGAACACTTCCCGAGGGTGGCCACCACTACCTCGCCGGTCCACTCACAAACGAGGCGAAACTGGTCCGCACGTCAGTCTCCTCCTGGGGGTTGCGGGCTCTCGGATGCAGCCCAGCGCGAGACACAGCAAAAACACCTATGTTGTTGTTTAGATTGTTATGTCATCGTATTGCATCTTGTAGGTTGTTAGCAGGCTTAAGTCGCTCAGCCATCAGTGTAACTATCTTGACATCCCAACCAGAACCGGAGTCCATTCCCTTTCAGTTGGTATCGATTTAGGCGATCCTGCACCCTCCATCGCAGCAAGTCCCCGCCGTCGTCTTAGCACGGCATATCGCGCCGCGCTGCACGCGATGAGCTGCATAAGACATTAAGATGATAGCTGTTGGCTTCATCAGCCCGTTGTACGACTCGACAAAGTCATGCGAAGTCAAGGCGTTTGGACTGCCTACGAAGTCCGTACGGCGTTCCGCAAGGGCACGACTGAGCTGCTTGCCCCTCGTCGACATCACAAATCGGAATACTGTAACAACTGGATATGAAGGAACTCTGAAGAATGCTGTAGGCGTCGCAACTTTACGTTAATATCTGGAACTTCAGTTGGAAACGGGAATTGTCATTGGAATTACAACTTTGTTGCAAAGACAAATTCAAGCTTAACGACTGTGTAATATTTAAGTGACGTTGGCCGTCGCTGCCCGGTGGGCCTCCGGGTAGCCCAGCCTTTACCAAAATGGCTCATGACGACAAAGCTGGAGGGTCTGATCAGCAAGCTCAGCAGGAGCAAAGGCCAAAGCCAGCCGACGGGCAGGATGGACGTGGGGATGGCCGGCCTTTAAAGCGCTATCGGCGCGAGGAGCTGGACAAAGAAGAGGAAAACTTGCTCATATCCGAAGATGGCGACGACGACAAGTAAGAGCCGCCCTGCGGGTGTTGACCTAATAGATTGCTTCTTCTCCGGGTTTCGCGCGGCGGTAGTTGACCCAACAAGGCGAGGGGATCAGGAGCTTGAATTTCGCATTTGTTTGGAGGGGCAGCGACAGAAAGCCTTTCCATTCCTGCGCCTTCCAAGGCTCCGCTCCGCTCCGCGCGCTATCTGTTCCGAGCCGACTCGGCCTTCAAAACTCACTATCGTCCCCTTCGTCCCTATTTCCCATCCTTCCCATTCCCCACTCTTATAACACCCACCCCTTAATTTGATCCTCTCCTCCGTCGCCTACCTAGCGCCCCGCAAACCCCAACCATCCAGCCCCAGCCACATATTCTCCTCGGCTTTCCCCCCTTCCCCCTGCCCGTCAGCCACCTCATCACTACGCGGAACCCCCCCCCCGCTGAAACCCTAAGCCCCTCAGCAGCAGCAGCAGCAGCAGCTGCTTACCGCATCTGTATCATGATCTCCTCCCGTTTCCTCAAGTCGGCAGTTGACACTTTGGTATATTGATCATCATCATTATCGCATGTTTTGCTACACACACACACACGTGACTTTTTCCGCTTTTCCCTCTCCCTTGTCATGGCGCCTCAGTGCCGAGGAGTACGTGCCTCTCCGCAAGCGGCGTGAGCAGGAGGAGTCAAGGCTGGTCAAGTTGCTGAGGGTGGGGTTGGCTGGGGGCGTGGGGCCTTGAGGGTGGGGTTTTGGGGTGTGTGTGTGTGTTTGTGTGTGTGTCTCAAGAAGTGGGGCCTTAGAATGTGGGAGGGGGGGAATTGCATACACACACACGCGTCCGTGGGGGAAATAATTGCCGACATTCATAGCTCCAACCGCCGGAGGTGAAAAAAGTGGGATTGGGGTTGGAGGTCGGGACAATGACTGGGCGGTGGGTTGCGGCGCGGGGAGAGGGTCAGTTTGGGGCGTGGGTGCGATTTAGCTAGAGGTGTGAGTGTGAGAGTGTGTGTGTGTGTTGGGGAAGGGAAGGGAAGGGAAATCTAGGTGGGGTTGGGCTGGGGAAAAGCCCGCGGGACTCAACAGTCGAGACTCCTCTCCCCATCCACTCACACATGCACACATACAGGCATATACAGACATATAAACAGCCACACACACACACGCGCATTTCCCCATCTCTTTCCCCCTCCCCACCCGTACATTCATCCATTCATTCATTAATTCGCCAGTGGTTCGTCTTACCCCCCACCCCCCCACCCGCACTCTCAACAGGGTGGCCGCGAGGGCAGCGCTGAGCGGTCCGGCTCCGAGCCCCCCTCGGGTGACCGACCCAAGGAGAGTCTGCTGGTCATCACGGCCAGGTGGGCGACTGGGGGAGCGGGGGAGGGGAATTGTAGGGGAGGGAAAGAGGGGGGTTACGGGGGGGATGAAAAGGAAGGGATGAGTAAAGAAGGGGGGGAAAGGGGACACCTCGTCTCTCCAACCCCCTCGCACACACACACACACACACACGCACGCACGCACGCACGCGCGCTTGGCTTGGCTTGGGGTTCTGGCAGCTCAGTGCTTCTGATGTGCCGGTGGTTGCTGCCGCGTGGCTGCGTGTTTTTCACCTTACCTCCCCCCGCACACGCACACACACATACACACATACACACACTCACCCCGGTGTGGGGAGCGCGCTTCCTCCGTTCTTCACAACAATTATCCTCCTCATCATCATCATTTTCTCCTTAACGATCATTATCGTCATCGTCATCACCATCATCTCCCCCCTGTCCCTGACGTCCTCAGAACCCGAAAGGACGCGGGTGCCCCCAACGAGGCTCAGGCGCTGCTGGAGGAGGAGGCCGACATCATGAGACACGCGCTGCAGAAGCAGGCGCTCAAGGCCGTCAAGGAGCTGGCCACGGTGCGTGTGTGTATGTATGTATGTATGTATGCGGGGAGGATGCGCGTGGGTGTGTATGTGTGTGGTGGGAGGAAGGCGGCAGGGGTTAGCGGGGCCCCCTGGTTTTCCCCTCCCCCTTTTATATTTTTATCATATATTTCCCCGCTTCCCCTCTCCCTTTCCCTCTTCCCACCCTTTCCCCCTCACTTCCCCCCTCTCTTCCCCCCGCCCCCCGGGCCCCAGGGTGTGACGTACAGCAGGTCCATGGAGACCGGGTGGAAGCCGCCGCTGAGGTACCGCAGACTGCCACAGGTGTGCGTGTGTATGTATGTGTGTGTATGTCTCGAGATTACGGCAAGAGGGGGAAATATTGAGGGCGGGTTTGGGCGGGATGGGGTGAGGTTATGTGGGTGGCCCCCTCTCCCCCCTACCCTACCAACGCGCTCTGAACGCCACGTAACGCTCACACGAGCCCCACGAGCCCACCTACTGCTGTTGACTTCCCGCTTCTCTCCCCCCCTTCCAGCCCACCGCTTTCCCTCTTTCCTTTCCCAACCCCCCTCCCTCGGACATTGGCCACCGGCAGTTCACTTCCCCCCCACTTCCCCGTCGCACACGGTTCTCTCCCCCCCCCCGGCCTCCCCCCTTCGACCCACCACACCACAACCCACTCTCCCCCCCTCCCCCTCCCCCGCTGCTGCCGCATGAGGGTTCGCTTCGCGCTCCTTACCCCGCAGAAAGCTTCCCGCATGTATGCAGACGTACATACGTATATGGCATACACACACATCCTCCCCTCCCAACCCCATACACACACACATCCTCAGGAGCTTCAGCAGCAGCTGCGTGACGCACTGCGTATCGTTTGTGACGGGAAAAACATCCCGCCGCCTATACCCAGTTTTGCTGGTGAGGAGGGGGCCCGGGGGGGGGGGTGTACCTGAGAACGCGAGCGGGCGGACGTGTGTATGTGTGCGTTTGGGGGGAGGAGGGGTTTAGGGATTGGAGAACCTTTCATGGGGAGAGTGTGGTAAGTGTTTTGAACCGGTATGTATGTAGGTATGTAGGTATGTGTGCAGGGGCGCAGGCAGTGTATGGTAATGCAGCAATGTGTTTTAATTCTTCCGGTAGGGATGGTCGGATCGTGTGAGGTACGACGAATCATGGGCGAGTGAAGCAGATACCAGAGATAGAAGGATTTAGTCCAGAAAAGGAAGATAAATGTTGTATCGGGAATATTTACTACTGATCAGTGATGACTTGTCAGTCTCTACTCAAGTCCCGCCGGCGACGTGGCCACAGCCGGGTTGCGAAATGAGCTTCTATCCCGCAGTCCAAAGTCTGAAGTCCGAAGGAGGCAGAAGGCGAAAGCCTGGGTCGTGTGCGTGGAAATATTCTTATCTTATCGAGGTACACCCCGAGTAATAAGCCGCTTATGTCTGAGCCAGCGCTGGTGGAGATCTGACTGTGCATGTGGGTTTGGGTTTGGGGTACGAGGTTCGAGGTACGAGGTACGAAATCATTGTACATCAACTCAAAAGCCATGAGCAAATTTCACCGTAGCTGCGCCGATGTCTTCCGATAGGCACATCTAAAAACACACACACACGCATACACGTCCCCTCTCCCCCCTTCCTCCTCCGTATATCAGCCGCAGCACTCCTTTCCTTGGCAGCAGCTTCACTCGCTCGTGGTTCGTCTTTCCCCCTCCCCCCTTTCTCTCCCCCCCCTTCCGTACAGACATGAAGCTGCCCCCCGCGGTTCTCCGTGTACTGGCCGGCAAGGGCATCAAGAAGCCCACGCAGATTCAGATGCAGGGCTTGCCGGTGGCGCTTAGCGGCCGGGACATGATCGGAATAGCAAGCACAGGATCGGGTGGGGGTGGGGGAGTGGAAGGGTGGGGAAGGGTGGGGAAGGGTGGGGAAGGGTGGGGAAAAGGATGGGACGAGGGGGAATTGTGTAATAGGGATGAAACAACGCAACGTAAAGGAGCTGGGAGGGAAGGGGGCCTGGTGGTGGGGGAGGGGGTGAGGGGAAAGAGGTAACGAGCGGGGGTGGTGGTGGTGATTGGGGCCGCCGGGAGGGGGGGGGAGAGAGCTCCGCCACTCTTCCTCCCTCTCTCTCCCCTTCCTCCCTCTCTCTCCCCTTCCTCCCTCTCTCTCCCCTTCCCTCTCTCTCCCCTTCCTCCCTCTCTCTCCCCTTCCCTCTCTCTCCCCTTCCTCCCTCTCTCTCCCCTTCCCTCTCTCCCCCCTTCCCTTAAGTATACAACCCTCTTAAGTTTACAAAAGATTTACAAGCTCCGTACGAATGCGGATGGGGGGGAGGTCCGTTAAGGCCTCCGAGGGGGACATCGAGTGTTGTTTTTGAAGTCACAACTTCGCTGCGACTGACGAGTGAACTAGTCCTGGCAGGCGGTTTGATCCTCTTGAGCCGTCCGGGATTTTCCGTCCTCATTCCGCGACCCAACCACGAACTCCCGCAGAAAGAAGAGGGGTCAGAAATTGCCCCACCGATCCGGCGTGCGGATCTACGCCCATCGACTGGATCTCAACTTCACATCTCAAGAGCTATTAGCCATTATCTCACGCTCCCAACCGAGCAATGCTGGGGGTTTGCATGCCAACCCAGGAAATTCTTCTGGTTTTCCCCCCGTACCCCTTTTACACTCGTCTATTCCCCGTCCCTCCCGTATCGCTCGTGTTTTCCCCTCCCCCCCTCCACCTTCCTCGGCCCCCCCCCGGTCCGCGGGGACCCTGCAGGCAAGACGCTGGTGTTCGCGCTGCCGATGGTCCTTATAGCTCTGCAGGTGCCGTACTTGGGGGTGGTACGAAAGGGAGCACACGTGCGGCGGGGGGGGCCCGAGTGCGCCGGAGGGGTGGGTGGGAATGTGGAAAGAGGAGGGGGGCAGTTGCGCCAGTTGCATCCCGATACCCTCCGCCCCTAACACACACAACCCCCCCGTCAAACACATTTACACGCATACATCCACCACACATGCAACCCTGAACTTCTTCTTCTCTTGCAATAATTCTCTTGCACTCCAGCCATTGTTCCATGCCGCACTTTTGCCGGTGGGAGGATGCACGGAATTACGGTGTTCGTTGGCTGTTCGTTGGTTGTTCGTTGGGGTTCGTTGGGGTTCGTTGGCCAACAGGAGGAGATGCGCATGCCGCTGGGTCAGAACGAGGGGCCCATCGGTATGGTGATTTGCCCATCGCGGGAGCTGGCCACGCAGACGTACGAGATCGCGGACATGTACTGCAAGGTACGACAGCACTCATCCCCCCGGGTCGGGGTCCCGGCTCGTGTAGTCCTGCTACTGCTGCACGGTGGCGTGTCTGTGCGTGTGTATGTATGTGTGTATGTATGTGTGTGTATGCGCGTGCGTGTGTGTGCATAGGGAGCGCGTGGGGATTGCAGAGGGAAATGCGGGGAAGGGATGGGGAAAAGGGGAGGACGTGGCAGTGGGTGTTTTGGATGCTGCTGCCGACCGTCACCTCCTTGCCTGTCATGTCCTGTTTACCCTTTGTTCCCTTCCCCCTTGTTTCAAACACACATACACACACACGCGTGCGCGCGCACACACCCCGGGGGATGGGACATCTCCCCCCTGCCTCCCTCCCACCTTTCCCGGGCCCCCCCCGCAGCAGCTTCTTGCCCTGGCAGCAGCTTCAATCGTGTGTGGTTCGTCTCCCCCCCCCCCGCAGGCCCTGGGCGCCGACCGGTACCCCGAGATCCGTGCCATGTTGTGTATTGGCGGCATTGACGCCAAGCCAATGTACGAGACCATTCGCCGCGGAGTGCATGCGGTGGTGGCGACACCGGGACGACTGAAGGTAAGCGGTCTCGGGGGGTTTGGGGGTTTCCCCAGGGGGCGGGGAGAGTATGTGTGTGTATGCGTGTATGCGTGTATGCGTGCGTCCCCCCGCGCCCCTCACCACCAACCCCGATATCATGGCTACGTCCGTATACATCCGTACCCACCGCATAGCCAGTTGGTTGTCATTTATAACTTGCCCACGTGTTCTAACCCACCCCCGGCCCCCGCTCCCGCTTCCCCTCCGTCCCCCTCCCCGCCTTTGCCCTACCCCCCAAACCCTCCACTAGGACCTGCTGCACAAGCGACGCATGAATTTGGACGTGTGCCGCTTCCTGTGCCTGGACGAGGCGGACAGGATGGTTGATCAGGTGGGGGGGGACATGGAGGGGGGCATGGAAGGTGTGTTTTTTCTTTGAGGAGGAGCTGGGGTGTGGATAGGAGACACGGTGTGTTTCGTGCACGTGCATGATGCCAAACTGGATATATGTATGCATAACACACGTTTCATATATATATATGTTTATATGTTTCGTTTTTCTTAAATTTATTTAATACTTCATGTTTACTACTTTATATACTTAGGTCAATATTGGTGGGGTGGGTAAATGTGGTCCGGGAAGATCGAAAAAGGAGCCATATTTCTGTGTGCCTGTCTACCGGCTTTTCTTATATACAATCGTCTGTGCTTCGTCGTACCCCTTCCCCTTCCCCCTTCCCCTTTTCGTCAGTTCAACGTCAGGTACCCTCTTGCCCTGGCAGCAGCTTCACTCGTTCGTGGTTCGTCTTTCCCCTTCCCCCTTCCCGCCCATCCCCGTTCCGCTTACTTGTCTGCTCCAGGTGGGGTTCGAAGACGACGTTCGCGACATCCTGTCGTTCTTCCGGGGCCAGCGGCAGACGCTCATGTTCTCGGCCACCATGCCCGCCAAGATCAAGGCCTTTGCGGAGAGTGCCCTGGTGGACCCGGTG